AAATTATTCCCTGCTTGTTAATATAAAACAAACCGCTTGTCCCTACGATGCTCCTATGCTGAGATAATGAGCGGTGAAAATGTGGTATTTTCGCCGAAAACCGACTCCAGATACCTGCTGACTGCGACTGTCTCTCGCTTTGAGATAACTCTGGGAAACCTCGCGTGTTTCCGTCAATGATTGAAAAATGGAATGAACGACGTCTGTTATTGATTGTCATAGGGATGACCCTCACCTGTGCCCACCTCACGCTGGATGTTGTAAACTCTGTAATACTGACGTAATGAGTCAGCGCTACCATGGCACTACACAGCGGCGACCGGAAGCAACACACTGGCCACAAAGCGAGAGAGGGTCGCAGCAAACAGGGATCTCGAGTCGGTTTTCGGCAAAAATACCAGATTTTCACCGCTCATTATCTCAGCATAGGGGCATCGTAGGGACATGCGGTTTGTTTTATATTAACAAGGTAGGACAGCTGATCAATAATACCGCAAAGAATCGTCAAAATAAAATGGGGAAAGTTTATTAATTTGACTAATACTGCAACATGGTTTCAGCATTTCACCGTTGTATGCTCTCCTTCTTTACACGCTCTTGATAATACCAAGAATTCGAATATACGTCACCTTGGCCATGGAGGGACATTGTTGACAATAAACGCATTATTTATACTTCCAGTTCCAGTCGGAGTAAAATCGCCTATGTTGCGCTAGAGAGGTTGAATAGAGACAATGGGGAATAGTGTGGGCATATCTCCCATGCTCATTTGTCTGCTCATCTCAGTAACAAAGGCAGTTTTTCCGAACACTGAGAATGCCAAAGAGTTTAAGATGCAGCATGCCACTAAAGACGATGAGGCGTCCCCTCGTGGGCATCTTGAGCCCCTCGGTTCGCACGGTCCTCCGACTGGCAAGCTTGATATTGTGGACAATGTGCCTTCGCCGCCTGAGTTCTATCAGAGATACGTGAGACCGAGCAAGCCAGTTGTGTTAAAGGGTGCTGCAAGAAGTTTGCCAGCATTTCAATTATGGACCGATGAGTATTTAAGGTATATGACACATTAAAACCTCATCGCTGTAGTCTCGTACTGCGAATGTGCATTGTACAGTTGTTGTATTGTATAACCATGACGAATGAGGAAATATTGGGAGTGACCATTGTAACCAGTGTGTATGAATTGTAACAATGAAATATTAATTTAGGAAGGCGAATGGTGCTTTAGAAGTAGAGGTGGAGGAGGGCAAGAAAGAAGACCGAAGTCTAAATGTCTATGTGATGACACTCAAACAGTTTCTAGATAATTACCTGGATGAAGATCTCTACCTTGTGGAATCTCTGAAACCCCAATTACACGGTATTTCAAAATACATGACTTTTTATTCATTTATGAAAATATGTAATTTTAACATATAGACGATGCTATTAAGGTTTGGACATAGAGCTCATGCTCTTAAATTACTGCAACTGAACATAGGAACAGTTCTCTTTCACACTTTTTTTCTAATATTTTTTTCCATCATATAGTAACATTTACATAATTTTATAACTTCATTATTATCTAGGCTGGTCAATCTTCTATATATTCATCATTTCTAACTGCGTATATATGTGTAAATCATTACATAGATATATGTAACCTAATCCAATTTTAAGTCTCGTGGTGCCTGCCGCCCCTGTGATTACGTTTGTTAGGTGACTTCGGCCTTCTGAGGTGCCTATTGTGTGGTGGATTCACACGTCTTCTTCAGGACACCATCATGTGGCTGAACAGCGGCGGTACAAAGTCCGTGCTGCACTACGATGATGTCGACAACATCAACTGCGTCCTGGACGGTGACAAGAAAGTCTTACTTGTCGACAAAAATGACGCTCACCACATTGACATGGATCGCGCAGAGGGCGGGTATGTAGTGCCATCTGGTGTCAAGCTCATGAATGATAAAGCAAGCTTTGCTTGCACAGAACAACCTTATTATTGTAAGCTGCTATGTGAATGATTACCCATATCTTCTAATCAATATATTCTCATACTTTCATGATGAAGCAATATAATGCAAGTGGGATTTTCAGTATAAATGCAAGCGAGACAATATCACACATACAACTGGGGTGTAAAAATCTGAAATGAATATCAGTCATATCTCAGCCGAGAGCGAAAACACCTAATTTGTATCATCCCTGTCTCTGCTTACAGTTATAGCAATGTTGATGTTGACATGGTGGACATGTACAAGTATCCAGGTCTTCAAGATCTGCCATATTATCTTGTAAATCTGTCACGAGGGGATTGCCTATACTTGCCAGCAAGGTAATATGATAGGTTGCTCATAACAGAACATTTTTGTATGAGTATTGGCATAACATAACAAATATTGATCGACGTTATTGGATGATCTATGCAAGTTTCTGCAAATATGGTGTGAATGGGGAGCAAAACAAAACGGCCACTGTGCAATTTGGGTAACATGGAGAAAAGCTTTTTTGTGGTAGGAAATTATATGATGATATGCAAACGAACATCTCAGTAGTCTGCCTTCGCTTTATTGTCTGATTAATAATAAGTTGGGATATTGTACTTGCTATGTTGTTATATAGAAGTAATTGAAGTAGGGATATGTCATCGTATTAACACTTGACAAATGTTCCTCTTACATTCACATGCTCCTGGTTATGAACACATAAAATTTTAGTAATATGATTAATGCACTAGTTGGGAATTCATCGATAAGATAGGAGACTAATTTAAGAAATAACTAATCCTGCAGAAGATGTTGGTAACGAGATAATGAAACTGACGTGTGTTTTGCAGGTGGCCACATCATGTCAGGTCCGGTCACAGTCGTAGCCTGGCTGTCAACGTGTGGTTTGCACGATTGCAGTGGTTTGATGAAGAAGATTGCCACAAGAGGGAGCTACCAGACTTTGAACCGCTGCATAACTATCGTTTCTCGTCCACAAACGAGCCACTGAGGTATTTGATGTAATAGTGGTTTTTTATTGATGTGTTTTGCTAGGCTGTTGTTTTGGGCAACCCGTAAAAGTTGTGTTCTATGGCGTGCGCTCATTACTTTCCACGATGGGAAAATGTGATTACTTTTTTTGTTGTTGAGGTCCGAGATTTTGGCAAAAGCAGTTGGTATGAACGAGTTGAATGAAGAAGACTTGTGGAACTGCTACTCTTCATTCCTTGGCTCCAGAAACCAATCGCAAAAGGTTATAGCAGACTTACACTAATACCCTGCATTGTGATAACTCAGTTTGCACATAAATCAATTATATTTCTGTGGCACTCCTCCTCCCATCTCGTATCAAGGTATTAAGTTTGGTGCGCAAGTCCGTTGAAAATCTGCTCTTTGTGTAATCGTGTTGCTGCCAAGTAATGCTCATTCTTTTCCTGCATGCAGGTCTTTCGATTTCTGGATGCAGATGGTGACGGCCTGGTATCCTGGAGAGAGATGTATGCAATCGATGCAGACACATTCGTGAAGCTCTTTCCGTGGCTCTTCAAACCAAAGACGAATCTTGAGGGACAACCTCCACGGCCTGTTGACGAGCTCTGACACCCCAAAATGCTTTCGGTTTCAGACCGTGTTGAGTCTGTATTTTGTTCTCCATTTTGAATCAGTACATTGGAAATGTTGTTTAATTACCTCCGCCCAACGGAGTTGGAGGAGATTATGTGATCGCTCTTGTGTGTTAGTGTGTTCGTGCGATCGATATTAGCGCGTCAGCCAGCCAGCGCAGCGAGCCAGCGAGCATGTACATGTGAGCGAGCAGCAGCAACGAGCGGCTGCTACGAGCGAGCGAGCAGCAAGCCAGCGTGTACATGCCAGTACGCTGGCGTATATCGTGGGTTATTTGTGTGTTCGTCAGTCGTATGGCGTATGTCGCTGACGGAGGTATGAACTCTCCGTGAGTGCACTCTATCTAGTTACACATGTGGACAACACATCATTAGAATCTCGTGTCTCAGTGAGTAAGTGATGTTCTACGAAATATCCCTGTGTCAACATCTTTAAAGTGTTGATTTAACATGTAAGCATCCATTCACACACTCGACACTGAATGGATGTTCTCAGAAAGGATATGTTATCTTTTAATCATATTCATATATATTATTATGTCATGTTACTGTTTTAACACGAGGGTACCACACGTGCTTTATTTTGTAATAGTAGGTTTTATATGATGACATAGTTTATACAATGCTTTATTATGTATTTCTTAAATGACCAGGTTTAAGTAATTACTGTTGCTATATGTACAAGTTACAATGGTATAATATTCGTGTACCATGTTGAAACTATATATATATATATCAGTTTCTAGGTATTTGTTATAGTTTCTATTCTATAAATGTATGTGTTGTTATGTCGACAACTGAAGATGTACTGTTAACATAAATATAAGTGTTTTACAACTTGAATAAGGTTCTATATTCTATATTCTATTTTGGTTGATCTTAATGAACTCATTGTATCACCACCTGTACCTCGTCTTTTCCGAACTACTGCCTTAACCAGAGTATATCTCTGTCAGTTTCTGTTGTGATCAGACTGTCAGAGTGAAAAACATGATAGTTCACATGATCAGCCAAGTGAAGATTACAATAATGCAATTCACAACAATTGGACTCAAGGAATCTTGTCATTATCATGATTCCAACACTACAAATCGTATTGAAAGCATCAATCAGAAGCTAAAGCAAGTCATAACAAGGTACCCAAGTCTGGGAACATTCTTCCGTGACCTAGAGGTCATTATCACCTGCCTGCACCAAGAAAGAGATATAGTCGTAAAAATAAAGTAAAGATAAGGTACATCAGATGAGTTAATAATTACTCATAAAATTGTGCTTAAATGACATTGATACTTCACATGCATGCAAGAATGAAAATATAGTAAAAAAGCAAATAAAAATGCTACGTCAAATTATTTATTGCTAGATATGAATAGTGTAATTTACTTTTAAAGATTCATTACTACAATAAAACTACGCTTATGTGGTATACAGCTATAATCACTATTGGATGTTATAGAATTTATCATAATTCTTTGAAATGATATGAAATTTTTTCCAATACAAATTCATAAAAACATCAGTGCAGGTTTACTTGAGTATCTGAAATATTTAAAAGTTTCAATGTCTAAACATGTAACAAGAACATAAATAATTGAGACCGCAAATTATTACGTGTACATATAAACACCCTAATAATTCATGTACGTAATGTAAAATGGGACATGGGATTAAGAACACGTGTGGGAGACAATTACATCGGCGACACAATCTTGAATCTAAAACTAACCACCAATTTGTATGGATAAAATCAAGAACAGACACTTGTGTAGAGTTGCAATCATTAGTTGAATTTGGATGATAACACTGACATACGTTGGATACACTCACTACCGTTATTACAGACGAAATACAAAAAAACAAAACAAATACACTGCAAAATATGAATCTTTAATTTACAGCGTTTTAACAGTGTAGAGATACCGACAGTGAGATATTATATGAAGGGGTTTCCCTCATAACGGTGACATGTACACACGGCTCTACTTAAAAAAAGCCTTCATCAGTGATTTGAATTTCGATAAATGATACTTGTCACACTGTTCACGCTCCCCATTGTGTGTGTATCTGAGGATCAGTAAGCAAAGCCACTTGAAACCACTATATCAGCGAACCTGGAATGCCTCACAGACGCCACCAGTTTGGTAGCGCACAATCAACAGTAGCGCCCCTGGTGACACACTATCTGTGGCAACTCATCGAATCAACAATTCTACACACCGCCAGCACCACCTACCAAGTCAACGTATCAACAGTGGAACTCCCCCCTCCCAAACGCCGCATCGTTTTTTCACGACAACTCTCTACGATTCCACAGACTGCCAACGCCACCTACCGGGACGACTCACTGGAACTCGAACGACTGTACCGCCTCCGACTCCTCACCGGCGAGCGCGAGCGGCGACGCGGCGGTGAGCGCCACCTGGGGAGTGAGCGACGGTAGCGCGGCGGCATAGGCGAGCGTCGCCAGTTCGGCGGCGGAGCGCGGCGGATCGGCGAGCCTCGCGGCGGCGGCGGCGGCCGGGTACGCGGCGGATGCGGGAAGACGGTCGTCACGGCGACCTCCTGCCCGTCGATCTGCGCGCCGTCCATGTGCTTGAGCGCGCACTCGGCGTCGTCGGCCGTCTCAAACTCGACGTAGGCGTCGCCGCGGTTCAGGTGCGTGTGGTGGATGTCCATCGGCAGATCGACCCTCTTCACCGCGCCGTAACTGCCGAAGATCTCCTGCGAACGAAGCAGCGTGAGACGAAGGATTAATATCATTTTAATATAATTTCCCATTAGAACGAGACAAGGGTGGAAAACTCAGCGATGCGAGTCAACACTGAACAAACGATTTAGGCAGGTCATGTAATTACTACTTTGCCGGTTACTATAATTACTATAAATACGAATTATGTACTATAATTACTAATTACTTAGAGCAAGGCGAGGGTGGAAAACTCGGCAACGCGTGTCAATGCTAAACAAACAATTTAGGCAGGTCATGTACCTCCTACTACTTCACTGATTACTATAATTACTATAAATACTAATTATTATAATTACTACTGTCTACTTTATAACCCAATTCATAATGCTACCTGATAGGGTTATGATTGAGTTTGGAGTTGGGGTTAGGGTTGAGGTAATGATGTGTTATCAGGGTTCGACACTAACGCTAGTCCGTTAGTCCGAGACTAGTAAAAAATCAGAAGGACTAGTAGATTCCCATAGCAGTTAGTCCGGCGGGACTAGTTATATTTCCCCGTCCCTCACCGTCCCAATTTCCCATCGATTTTACCGGCGGCAGCGTCTCTCATCCAAGATCCAAAGAGCTATATATATAACTCGTCCCCATTAACAAGTTTCCCCTCTAAGCATGCTAGACCCTACGGCAGTACAAACATTTGTTAAAAACAATGAGACCACCAACCCAGTCTACCGATCGATCGCTTGACAGCTGTTGACATAGAACAAACGGTCTGATTGTAGAAATGACGCAACTAATCAGTTATGTACGCTCTCATAGCGAGACATCGCAACCACATCGCATGCCTGTGTTACTTGAAGCAGTGATACAAATAGTAGTGAAGCTAAT